TCAGCCTAGCTCACAGCAACCTCAAACTCCTGGGCTCGAGCAATCCCTACTGCCTCAGCCTCCCAAGTAGCTGGGACTACAGGCATGCGCCACCATGCCCGGCTAATTTTTTCTATATATTTTTTTTTAGTTGTCCGGATAATTTCTTTCTATTTTTTTTTAGTAGAGACAGGATCCCCCTCTTGCTCAGGCTGGTCTCGAACTCCTAAGCTCAAACGATCCGCCCGCCTTGGCCTCTCAGAGTGCTAGGATTACAGGCGTGAGCCACCGCACTCGGCCCCGTTTTGATTTTTAAAATACCTTTATACAACTATTTGACTAAATAGATAGCTCTGACTTTAAAAATTGAAGGGTAAGCTTGACTGTGAAGGAATAATTTTGCTCCACCCCGCCCCCACAGCCTGTAATGACTTTATGCCATGTGTCTCAAATATATCCCATCTTCTCCTATCCATATCAATTCTCGCCTCTTAACTGGTCTATTAATCTCCCTCAATTCCACTGTTCCCCACAGTGTAATCAGAGTTGATCTTTTGAGTTCTCTAGTTAAAATTATCCATTAGCCTCTCACTTCCTTTAAGATAAAATTCAAAATCTTTAATATAAACTATAATATTCAATGTGATCTGCCTGCCTGCTCCCTTCCCCCATCTCATCTTTCATACCCTCAGCTCCAGCAATTCTTAACTACATGTGATTCCCATAAGTTACCCTTACTCTTTCTGTCCTTTCTACCTTTGCACATCTGGAGCCCCAGTCGTAAGTCCTTGAGATACTAGACCTCCTTTGAAAAGTGTTGGTTTAATTTTAGAATATAAAATTTAGTGGCCATGTAGTACTGACTTAATTCATAAATAGCAGTAAAATTTATTTGTCCAAATTCTAACCTTGTCTTTTGAATCACTGGATTCATCTCTGCTTCTGGGGAGCCAGGAAGCCCAAGATTTCTTCAGTTGGAACTAAGCTTTTCCTATACCTGTTTTCAATTTGGCTTCATATGTCCCACTGGTTGAATTTGTCATTCATCATGGTATAGCTTTGTTTATTATCTATTCAGCAAATATTAATTAGTGCCTATTATGTCCCATATATTCTTCTAGGCACTTGGGATGCAAGGCAACATTCCCATGCTCTTGGAGCTTTCATTATAGATGGCAGCCAGATTCTACTCCTTTTTTTCCCTAAAGACTCACTTATTGATGATTGATGACAGCTAAGAGATTAGAGCTTTTTACTTAAAGTTTCTTTTGAGGAGAGGGGAGAAGAAATCCTACTCATTGTTATTTTATTTCCTTAAATCTTCCTCAGCACTCATACAGAATTAACTGCTTGTTTCTATGTCATTCCTAATGCACTTTATACGTGCCTGTGTCTTACTTCTAAAAAGGAGATCTGGTCATGTCACCCCCTTACTTTCCCTTCACTGACTCCCCAGTACTTGTGAGTTAAAGTTCACACGTGGCCTACAAGGGCTTTCTGATCTGGCCCTGGCCCGCCCCTCCAGTCAGTCCTCCATTGGACATTCAGTTCCTCTAACACCCCCTGCTCCTGTGCGTGCTGTTTCATCTGCTTAAAACAGTCTTCTTCCTGCCCCTTTCATCTGGCTAACTGCTGCTCATCTTTCAGATTTCATCATAAATAGCACAACATCGTACGTACATACTCAACAAACACTGGCGTCTTTTTCCTCCAATAGCCTATCTTGAAGGTCCTTGAGATGAGACTCTGGTCAGCATGAGAAGGGCTAAGCAGATGTTTGACTGAATCAGTGATTGATTGTATTTTTTCATCTTAGAATATAGCAGTTAAAAAGGAATGTACCCTCCCAAAATATCCCTTCATGTTCTACATCATCCAAAGCCTCTGCTCTGTTTCCCCATTTGAACTGTTCTAAAGGCTTATTTTTGCTGCTGTTCATAAATTAGATCACTTATTGGAAATTTTTAACTGAATCTAAAAGATAAAGATAAAATAATATTTAGTCCTCACCTATAAATAATAATGACTTTAGATATTTTATAGTTTAAGATATGTTAAAACAGTTATATAAAGTGAACTTTGTGGTATATGTGTCAAGTCAAGGTTTTTAAAGGAATAAAGATAGATAGGCCCTGAAGCTAGATCTTGTGCAGCTCTCTTTCATAAAACTCACCTATGAAGGTACTGTTGATTGTGAAATCTGAGACGAAACCCACCAAATCTGACCTTCTGTGTTAGACCTTTTGGTTTAAGCAGAATTTGGCTTATATAACCTGTTTATATTTTCTCTGAAAACCTTATGAGGTATTATAATTTTTAATTTTTTTCTTGACTTTTTTATGAGTTTTAATTCATAGCTTTGAAAAAATTTGTGCTTTAGTAAAACAGCAAAAAGTATGTCTGATAGTGCTTTTATTTTGTCTGCGTATTTTTTCCTTTTATCTATGAATATGGTGGCATTTTATCTTACTTTCTGTTATCTGATATGTGAATATGCTTTATCTGACTCTGTATAAGTTGGTTGTTGTCATTTAAAGTAAGGTTGTTGTCATTTAAAGTAACATGATGATAAATTTCATACTATTCTAACTGGAGGTTTTTTCCTTATTTTTTCTCCCCTCTTATACCTAGCTGTTGTGGAATTATAAGCTGAACCTAACTACAGATCCCAAATTTGAATCTGTGGCCAGAGAGGTTTGCAAGTCTACCATAACAGAGGTAAGTTGTGAAAGAATTTTGTGCATATTTAATGACTTAGAAGAGAAAATTACATCTGTTGACCAGACCAGTCATTATGAGAGGAATGACCTAGTTACTTTACTTTTCTTGGAATTCACATCTGTCTTGGCTGAAAGATAGGAAGGGGGATGTAATTAGACTCTTTGTTAACATCCATCTACACGTAAACTGGGATACTATTGATTGAGACAGTTGGAAATCAGGTTCTTTTGGTCCCCAAACAGGGAGTAAAACTGCTGAGGTTAACAATGCTGCTCTCACACGTTGTACAACCTGCTATGTGTGAAGCGTATCAAAATGGTTACAGGAGGCCTGTGGACATTCCTGAGTGTTTCAGCTATGCAGTTGGATCAATTGAACAACAAAGACATACACTTCAAATAAGAGTTAAGGTTAAAAAGGTTGAGGGTATGATTGTGTATATTGTTATAAATTGATACTGAGCATAAAGACAAAAACAGTTAATGAAAATGTATAAAACTGTACAGATGCTAACGGAAAATTTTTAATTACTTATCTTGGCTCAGAGTAAACAACAAATATTAGTGAAAATTGTGGTATTTGGAATTTCTTTTTTTTCCCTGGGGTGGTTTTTTTTTTAAATCAGCAGTAGAAACTCTAGTAAGCCAGAGTTTCTGCATACTGAAGTACGAGAATCACAGAGAAAACAGTTGCTATTTTTCTACCCCAAAGTTAACAGTCAGCGTTCTTGCAGCATATTAATCTGTCCTCAAGTTGACCCTATTGATGACTTATGGGCCACTTTCTACAGAGCTCTTAAGGATGACCCTGTCCCACCACATAAGCCATCAGCTCATGTTCCTCATTTACGTAGTATGGGGTCTTGTATTAATAGAACCTGTTTTCGTAAATCTTCTAATACTGGATCAGGTATGTTTTATTCTTTTAAAGTAATGACCCTTCATATTTACCTTGGGGCTTCAGAATAGAACAGCATATCTTTGAAAAATTGATCTTCAGCTCCTAGCTTTAATATTCTACATCTCAAACTCCCTTAGCTAGTTATGTGACTAAGCTTCTAACTTTAAAATATCAAAGGCAAGGTATTTGCTTAATAACAAAAAAATATTAACAAAGAAATGATTCCCAGACTTGAACTTTCAATGTTTGAATATTCCTACTATATTATGGAAATATCCAATTGTAAGTAGTTTTATTTTAAAAGACACATCAGGATATATATATACATGTGTTTGTTTTGCCCTATTTTTCTGTCACCGTTAAATACACACCAGTTTGATTTCCCTGTGGAAATTTAGTTCAGAGTATATACATATTCACTAGAATAATTTCACTCTTTGCATTAGGTTGGCTTCCTTATAACATATGTATAATGATGGTCTCCTGTGACCTTTTGGGGTATTCTGGCTTTGTACAAGATTGAATAACAAGGACACTTTTCCCTTCCTACAGAGAGAGTATACTGGAGTCAAGAAAATTAAATATGAAGAACATAGTTATCAGCAAAACATTTTATTCTGCATTTCCTTCTATCTTCTTTCTTAATTTTGGAATCCTACTTCCAGGGAGAAAAACAACATCAAAGAGTATCTGCAAACTGCAGAGCAACCTTTTTTATTCTGCAGAATTAAGCTAAATACTGCCTGCTTTCCTTCTGTCTCGTGTCAAAAAATAAAATGACTACAGTGTTTTTCTAATGGCACATTATGAATCTGGTCCCCAGCCACTTCAGAGTTTACTCCCCCATTCTGAAATCTGTTGATGATTTAATGGTGGGTTTTTTTGCTGTTAATCTTAGAAGTTTAGTGAGATAGAAGGAAAAAACGCTACACAGCAGAACGGCTGAAGAAAATCATAAACTTCTCATTCAAACACTACACCCTCTTATAATTGGTAGTGAACTGAAATACAAATAGTGCTACATTTCTGTGTTTCAGTAAAATCTCGAGTTATTAAAGCTAAATATACATTTAGTTTCTGATTGGGGCTCCAATTCAAAATGCTCTTGGTTTTTCTTCTGATTTTTAAACTGTTGGTTGCCTAATATTAGGGCCTGTATGAATGCTTCTCTTCTTCATTGGGCTTAAAAACCCAGGTGTCTGCCACTTGTTCTGATTTTTATCCAGTTTTTTCTGTAGTTGAATTATAAAAGCTGGGATTTTCAAGCAGCTGTTCCTCCTTTTACTTTTCAAACTTAGCTCTGTTTTTTGTTCAAAAAAACTTTTCCTGGAAATACACTTTTTTTAGGCATCACAAAAAATTGCTCAAGGTTAGGCTGAAAGCATTGCATTCATCTTGACTGTTGAAGATCTCTGCTGCCTCTGAAGGCGGTATGAGACTATTTACTTAAATTCTCAAGTTTGCTTCTTTAAAAGTAAACACAATTTTCTGTCTTGAACTGATTTTTTGACTTGGTCTGGACTTAGTACTGGAGTTAGACATGAAGAGACCTAGTTACCCTAGTTATCCTAGAGACCTAGGATAATCCCCGTGTGGCATGTCCTTCAGCCAGCACCTTTTGGAAAAGAAGGTGGTATTTATTTTGCCCTGTGTGCAGACTTATGCTAGCTGGTGTAGTGGGGAAGAATGGTCTCTATTGGTTTCAAAAACCAAGAAAACACTCTTTTCTTGTTTATATTCAAAACAAACATTTACCTTTAGCTCCTTCCTTTTTTTTTTTTTTTGAGACAGCATCTCACTCTGTTGCCCTGGCTAGAGTACAATGGCATCACCATAGCTCACTGCAGCCTCAAACCCCTGGGCTGTAGCTGGGCTTAAGTGATCCTCCTGCCTCAGCTTCTTGAGTAACTGGGACTACAGGTGTGCACCACCATGCCAGGCTAATTTTTCTATTAATATTTTTTGTATAGAAAGGGTCTCTCTATGTTGCTCAGGCTGGTCTTGAACTCCTGACCTCAAGCAGTCCCCATACCTCAGCCTCCCAAAGTTCTAGGATTGTAGACATGAGCCACCTTGCCCAGCCTCATTTGTGGTTTGGGGTGCACTTTGCAGGAAGACTAAGCATTTGGAATCACTCTGTGCTTCATCTACTAGATCATATGTCAAAACCACCCAAACCAGGTTTGCAGTGGTTTTCCCCTTCCCAAACTTCTTGCCAGACTGCACTGAACATCATTTTATACATATTTCTGTTCCAGACCACAGTGGTTAAGCTTGGGTTCTACTAACTTTAGAAACACATGTTCAAATCCATAGTTAATTCAGAACACATTAATGTCATGTCAAGAATGCCTTCCCTCATCTCTCTCCTTGGCCATTGTGTTTACCTAATGATAATAGTTTGCCGTGTGGCTTTGCTTGGGATGTGCAGCTAGACTTCACTTCTGCACCTGCTTTTCAGACCTACTCCCTAGGTTCATCTCCTCACTGAACACTGCATTCTTTACACAGTTAAAAGTACTTCGTCATTAGGACCATGCTAAAGCTATAGATATTAAAATCTCTTTTTACTCCATTTAGAAGTGAGTTTTTCCTAAGCATTTGGATATGTATGTATTTGCTTGCAAAACACAGTTATCAGGTATTTTCTAGAAGGTACAACAATCTGAGTAGGGATGACACACTATTTTTTTCTTAAATGAATATATCTCCAAATATTCTCCTTGAATGTGTTTCTAAATGTTTTTCTTCTTTTTCTCCCAAGTAAAGAGATGGGAAATTAACAGGAAAATATCAGACATTTTCTCCTTCATAAAGGTTGTTTGGTATAGTCACAGAATAACTTGTGTAAAACAGCCACTTTCTTTTGAGCAGATTAAAGAATGTGCGGATGAACCAGTTGGAAAAGGTTACATGGTTTCTTGCTTGGTGGATCACCGAGGCAACATCACTGAGTATCAGTGTCACCAATACATTACCAAGATGACGGCCATCATTTTCAGTGATTACCGTTTAATCTGTGGCTTCATGGATGACTGCAAAAATGACATCAACATTCTGAAATGTGGCAGCATTCGGCTTGGAGAAAAGGTATCTTACTACATTGACTTCTCCAAAGGAACCTTTAAAATTTGGCACATGAGAAGCTGTATAACTGGCATGGGAAAATTCTAGGGCTGGAATGACCATTAAGTTGAAATTAAAGAAACTTGCTCAGACAGCCCTAAGAGCTAAGACCAGTTGCCCTTGTTAATGTACTTCATGTGTTTGTAACAGAATGTTTCAGTAATGTATGGGGAAGTAGAAGAATTAATATCTGGTAAGAGTGGGCTGTTACCTTCACAATATTAAACCAGTTGCTGATTACCTATAATGTGCCTCTGGCAAAGGAGAGACCTGAGTTCTCTCATCTTCCTCTGCATATACCTCACTGTTACCATAAAAAAAATTACTTAGCTCCCCCTCTATAAAGCAAAGTATCTAAATTAGAAAATTTTAAGATATGTGAAAGTACTTCTAGCTTGTCAGAAGAAAATTGCTCTGTAAATGTGATTTTACAGAAGAACTGATTTTAGTAAAGACAGGAGAGAACATAACTACCTAGCTGCTACTTTCCCCAGTTATATCCGATCTTATTTTTAGACTCACTAGTCTGGTGAACAGAAGGTCACAATGGAGGCTTAGCCAGGTTTATTCTGAATCTGTTTGCTCAGCAAAAATGAAAGAAACTCCTGAAAAGTACTAGGTGCCACTGGGAGAGGTCGTCTGAGCATCAGCTGTTAATTGCCACTGCTCATTAATCTGCTGTTCAGGAACCATGACAGAAAATAAAATCCATTTGTGTCTCTGCCTTCTGTTTGTTCATGGTTTTCAGTTGTCTGTCACTGACAAAAGGGGGCATGGTGTTAGGATCCTGAACTGAGCACACCAGTTCAAATGAAGGGTATATTGCCAGGTAATGTTGGCTGTCACCTAATGCCCTTTCCTTCGTATCAGCACAGGGACCAGTGCCTTATCATAGGGTGCCTCTGAGTTGGTCTTGAAAGCTCTGTGAGCTTGGCAACTAAAGAAAGGTCAGTTTTAATAAAGAAGGCAGTTTTTTGTTTTCTAGCAGACTCTAGAAATGGCACAAAAGCACTTAAGCTACCCTGATGATTCAGGAAGCTCCTCTGACTTTATTTAGGGTGTTGGAGATTATATCCAGTTCCAAAGCTCATGCCTTCTAAAATCTAAGTGTTCCAAACATACTTTTCCAGAATCAATGACATTTTCACATTTGTGATTAGTGTCCCACACTATAAAGTAGACCATTGCAATTCTCTCTTTGTAATAGTTCTTACCTGTTGACCACCAAGGTAATAGCTGATTAGCTTCCCCCTAGCTCTCTGGATTGTTTTCAGACAGACTTTTT